AAGATCGTACGATAATTGTGTTACCGATTAAATTACGGCACGTGTACCACTCGAATGGGGAATTTCAACGACTTAGTTGTCGAAATGAATCAGATCAAATACTAATCCGAATTTCAATTTCAAACGTTACAACAGACTTCTGCGGAGGCATTTAAAAAGAGTGTTGCGTATATATTATTAGGTTGACATATCCAATTATAAGAATAAATATTAATGAAGTGTCGTTTCATTTGCATGAAAAAAGAAAACACGAATTTTACGCATATAAAATCAGGGAACTGATTATATATTAAATTTGTGTGGGTCTTGAAAGAATTATTTTTTTTTTTTTGGTAGAAAAGTTTCATGACGAAGGCTTGTAGAAACTGATGATGGAACGGTTCTTGTTGAATTTAGTGAAAATGTACTTACTAGCTGGATTATCTGATTATTGACATACTTAATTGAATCTTGTGTGATTAATTTTGTTATCTTAACACTTTGCGATCTACCGTTGTCATAGAGCCATTGTCGCGACAATTTTAACGTTTTGTAGGTTTGTCGAGTGCTACTGACATTTACCCGTATCTATGATCGTATGTAGGTATTTTTTAATTGGTAAAAGAAACGTGAATATGATCAAAAATTACATGCGTGAATCAGAAAGTAATGAATACGGACGGTGCAAGTGAGCTATAACTAAAGCGTACAAATTTTGTTTAATTAAACTTTACACGATGACGAATGTATAACAGAGTAATAAATAAATTAAATAAAGCTTGTACATTATTTTATTACATAAAAATATGAAAAAGTGATATTTTTTGCCTGAAACGTTCACATACCTATGTTTAACTTTTTATTAGTTAGAAATAAAGTGCTATCTTGAACTGCCTGGAAGAGTAAAACTAAATGCAAACGTTAAAATTTAGTGTGTCTGTCGATAAGTTTAAATGTGAAATTTACGATTACAATGAAACAGAATATTTAAAATTTAGTATAGTTAATAATTCAATCAATATATACGTATATACGATATAATAATTCATAAGTTTTTTGTTCGTTATTTTTGAGTTATATTTATTAAAATAGTAATTTGCAAACATAAAACATTTAATAAAAATATGTAAATATATGTTTACACGTTATTATTAAATGTTTTAGTGATATATACGTTTGCACCAAATGAGCATTTATCATTGGCCGCCTAAAGGCGCTGTTCTCAGTCAAAGGATTCAGACAATAATTATCAGATAGGGCGAAGGTTAATTAATTTGGTACATGTTATGAAATCTTCCAGCCAAAGTAGTGTAATTATTATACCAGTTTGACGGAACGTAATAAAAATGGACTTTGTGGTTGTTCATACGTTTCATTGGTACTACAGACATCACTCGATTATCGTCCCAAAATCGGGTCCGTGCCGGGACAATAATCTTGTAGGGAGAAATGTTTCAGACCCTCGTATAAATTCGTTTCTTGCCCGAAGCCCGAGCCTCGGCAACAAAAGCGGAGGGGCAACAAAGTATGCGCTTGACAGATTCCACGCCCCCCTCCCCCAGTGGTGCGGATAACGCCTGGACAATAATCGTGTAGAGCAAGCCAGACGATAGTCGAGGAGAGAAACTGAATAACTTCTAAAGTATACATTGTATGAAAAAAACTTTTTATAGAAAAGATGTATGGTTTGGAGAGATACATTGTGTAATGGATACATTTTTTTTGTAAGTGGAGGCGTTTCGAAGATTTAAATGTCAACTTCGTTTTTTTTAATGGAATGCTATATTTATTATGCCAAAATATCGACACCCTTAGATACTGCTGCTCTTCACTCTGTATTATTCAAATAAAATTCTGCCCAACTCTGATTGTAACTAAACCAAAAAACAATAATACAGCCTATGGGTAGAATGATTCCTGGAATCATTTTATCCTACCAGAGAGGGATCATATGACCCCAAACACTGACATTCACTGGCTGAATATAACATCAACTTATTACATACGGTAACGAAACATTAATTAACTTATTATTGAATTGTGGTTAAATCGACGCAAGAAGCAGCTGTCACATTAAACTGTTTACGACAAAAGTCACACAACATTGAAGAAGACCTTATCTTAGATAAATTGCAGTAATTTTACATTTTTCTTGTGTACAACACACAAAGCACTGATATTCACATGGCACTTCGAGCAATGACTAGTGACGTGCAGGGAGAACTATTATAGAACGACATTACGATATAACACAATTAATAACCACAGGGCAGCTAGGAATCATTTTACCCCAAGGGATCATTTTAAACACCTTTTCCCTATTAGCTCATCAACCCGATCGCCATGCTGGCAAGACGAATACAATTCGTATAATACGATGGACGGTGAGTACATACACCAGCACACTTTGCTATACACTCACTAACGCGTGGATCTAATTTCTAGCCAATACGATGGTGTGTACATGTTTGGCATTGACACGTGCGTGTGTGTGCGAACAAGTGATCCGTGCCGGGGCGTTTTAACGGCTCAAGACATTTCCCGCCGTGTAAGCTACCGCCCAGGCGGCGGCGCCGACCTCGGCTGGTCTCGCCCGCTATCGCTATCACGACTGGTGATAAGATGGCGAGCCTGCAAAATGCAGTTCTCCTTTCGTGTGCAGAGATACGATCGCGACTCGAGAACCAGAACCACCGAGGAGACGACGAGTGCACGCGCGCGGTTGCCCCCTCGTCGACGTCGACGTTTAAAGACGATGGAATCACGGTACGACACCCTCGATTTCTGCCCTTCTTTACCTGGGGGGGGGGGGGGGGGCAGGTACCCTAATTTTCACCCATAACACTTCCCATCAGGCATATGTATGTATTTACTGGAGTCATTACACGACAAATCGATCAGTTTTTTGCACTTGCTATGGGGGATTTTGTTCAAAATGAAATATGTTTTAGTCCACGTGAAATTAGGGGGGGTTTAAGTCATCATTTTTCTGTCACCGAATATGTTTAAATAATACAGACCATCGAGGTTTACGGTATTTTCATGAAACAGCGATGTACTTAAGAATTTCTATCTCGGAAACTATTTATTGTATCGAGTTCGTTTTTTGATTAGTCCTCGAAGGGTCCTCGGTACTGGACATTAAATATTTTATAAACTAATGGCCATGTGTGGATAAAACGAATATCATTGGCTTCAGAATTCCAAACTCTATCACTGTTCTAAAACTCGTTAAAAAGTCAGCGTTACTCCTGGGGACCTCTTCTTGTCAGTGATGAGGAGCCTTCAAACACTCATCGAGGATTTACTGCAATTGCAAGGCCTAAGGTGCGACGTAATAAGTCTTTTAAAAATTGTTGCAGCAATTGTAGCATTAATCAATTTTCTTTTTTACTTCATCTTGACTTATTAACCCACTTATGCCTTCAAAAGTATTTAAATAAAATTAATAATTGTAAGAATAAACGTTTATTGGATTGTTAATCAAAATTAACTGCAGTACTAGTCAATACCGCAGCGAAGCACAGGTATTTTGCTAGTTTTCATTAAATCTGTCTGCAAAGTTTTCAACTTTTTTCTTCTAAGAAAACAATTTCTTTGCAACAGACAAATTAGTTTTTTATTTCTTTGTACTTATGTCACCTCAGTGATCCCGTAAGTTTTTCACAAAACTTTTACTCGGAGTATCCCTAAAATGATATACCAAAAATACTTTGATTCGCTATCGATTAAAAACCGTATAAAATGGTAGAATTGGGCCTGTTAAGGGACCTCGACAGCCGAATTTCCGTCGAACGTAACGGTGGATCGATTTATTATTATTGTGTTGAGGTGGAGAAGACGGACGGCTTCGGCGGTGATGGTATGTACCTCGATCAGCAAATATTCTTCATCTCAAGTGTAGAAAGGAAGTCCGCTGTCAGCAAACCGCATGCTTGCATGTCTTATCCAGACGGTTCAAGTTGGTCAACTTTCTGTTAGAAGTACCGTTTACGTCGCCCTATATTTTTAATACGATACACAGGTTATTGGAAAGTGTAAAACGATAAAAAGGTTTCAGCGAATTGATATTGGGTCGTTGAGTTAGAAATTTGGCAAATGTCAAAACGTAAAGTTTGACATTTATTGTCCCTCTGTTGGCGCCAAATTTCTGTATCGGGTTAGGTTTGTTTAAGGGGACTTTCTCATTCAAAATTGAACAAAAAGACACTTTTTTAATATTTCTTTATAAAAAAACTATTATATTCTAAAATATTTTATTTTTTGTATTTTTTATCGTTTTATACATATTTTTCCGAAAAATTCGAAAAATCACTCTTTTTGGGGGGCAATTCACACCTGTATAAAAAGGGGGGGGGGTAGTTTTATGAACTTTTAGAGGTTTATTGTCTGGTTTTAAGTCTCACGAATAGAATCCCGTTTGAATTTTTACTTAATTTTTTACAGGACGTCTGCAAAGTGTCGCACCGATTAAAACGTGGCTTTTTGGAAGACGCCCTCTACAGCGGTCGTGGTGAACTAAAAGTGCTAGAAAAAATTTCTTTATGTTCTTAATAATATATATAATAGCGTACAAAAGGAATTATGTTTCTAAATATAATAGTTTTTTTATAAAGAAATATTAAAAAAGTGTCTTTTTGTTCAATTTTGAATGAGAAAGTCCCCTTAAAAGAAGCATCTTCGCTCTTCATGAGCCATATTTGTTTGTTAAAATATTAAGTTTAAAAAAAATCGGAATTTTCAGGTTACCGAACTTCCCTTGTCAGTGAAGAAGTATTATTTCATTATAAAAATTGGAATTTTTTTAAAAAATGCCGAAGTACGCTTTTATCTTGTATTCGTTATTCGAAACTCTTTGTATCTAGATAATGAATTTTCCCATCTTTGGTCCCAAAGTAGTTAGTGAGCCACCAAGAGCAAAAGAGTTGAATGAACGGCGCAGGTGTAGAACGGAATGAGGAGGGGGTAAAGTTTTCAATTATTGAATAATAATGTAATTTGAGGAATTGTTTATGTTTCAGGTCACCTGACTACACCAAGGGAATCTTTCAGAGCATCGGCTTCAAAGAGTTTCATAGTTACCTCGTGCTGCCCGAGAACGAGAAGCGAGAGAAAAAGGTAAGCAGAATCAGCGAACTGCAACGTCGTCACGTTCGGGTGTGCGCAGCTGCGCCGTTGCTCGCGATGTACCCGCGATTATCGTTGCTGGAACCGATCTACCTTGTCCACGGGGGGACGAAGTTTTATACGGGAGGGTAATCGACACGGGATGGAAGAGCTTTAAAGAATTGCGCCCGTCGCTGTTTTTGTTGGTCATTATTAGTGATTCGAATGTTAGTTCTTTCCCCCTGCATTCCTTTCCCCGTTTTATACTGTCAATTTCCAGCAGCCAGTTTTAACATTCAGTAATGTCTCGATGAGTGCAACGTACCCAGAGTCCACTATCGGAGCATTAGTGGCGAGGCGGAAAGGTTTTCAGCCCCTCATAAATTTTTCTACCCGAAGCCGAGCCTCTGCTTAGCTTCTGTTTACTTCGTTTTAGTTGGTTCCACAGCGGGACTTGTCGCATTCAACGAGGAATCACTGTATCTCTATGATTAAAATATTATTATTAACAAGTGTTATAATTTCTTTGTAAAAAAAAAAAATAGCTTTTTAGGCTAGAGGACTTAACCCTCGGAGTACGGACGTTTTTAATGTTCGTAGAGACAGTGGTGTCTGGGCCCGTTTGTAAATTCATGTTTTCTTCTTTTTAGAAATGCTTTGAAACGAAATCATTAAAAAGGCATCTGCTTTTTTATACAACTAAATACGAACAATTCCTAGCTTAAGTTATATTTACAAATCGATGATTTAGATATGGCTTTTAAACGGTCGAGTCTAAATGGACCCAGGCACCGTACTCCAAGGGTTAATTTTTAGGCTACGACAGGTGTTGGACGCTATGACAGGAATTGGTATAGGGTGAATGCATCTAATCTCAGCCCCAGTACACAGTGTCGCCACTCGTAATATCTTGTGAAGAAAAGGCTAAAGCTAAAATCTGTTGGTAACGACCTAACCTAATGGTCAAGCAATAGCTCTAGTTCTTAATTGTTCTATGTCCACTAGTTTCTGAACTGAGAAAACTGAGTTTAAAGTTTACGAAGTTTAATATAGAAGGAGGAAAGTAGTGAAATAATTAAACAAAACAAGACAAGCAAAAAGATCTTTTAAGACATACACGAAAACCTACGTTACCGATGACACGACTTAATGCAACTGAAGTTAACCTTCATACCAGTTGCTATAATTCAGTTTTGTATATAATAGGGTGCAACCGATGATACAAGTGGGTAGCAAATGATTCTTTATGGTAAAGTGAAGCATCAAAGTATTCTTCACTTTTCGTATATTATATTTATATTTATTTATATGTAAATACATTCTTCATTTTTTTCTGTTTCCTTTTTTTCTCTTCTTGTTTTGTGCTATATATATTGTTATATTTTTTGTGCTATAATAAAGGTATTATTATTATTATTATTATTATTAATCAAAGATTAATAATCAAAGCAATTGTCTATTTAAAAAAACTGAATATTCAGAATATAAATAAAACTGATGCATCCAACGAAAATTTGTTTTAAGGACAATAAACGATTTGAGTAATTTTTTAAATCGTCTTTTTCGCTGAAATTCGAATGATTTGAAGAACATGACGAATGCAACTGAATCATCCCAACCGAACTTCTCCGTCTTTGCCGCCATATTTGTACGGGGACTCGTGTGACCCAACCAGCCACAAAGGGTCCTTTCGTTTGGACGAAAGCAGATTCCATTTCCCGTTTTTTTGCGGGCTCGTTATAACGTGGCCCTGTAGAAAACGGTCTGATAGTTTAGCCTTCTATAAATTTCTCCCATGACAGTTTCTAATTTTTAAAAAAATTACATTTTACATGTTTCCTGTATCAAATTTCTCACTCCTACCGATGGTAAAAATTATTTCGTTCTAAATCGTCTAGAGTTTAATAAAGGTACATAATAGTCTAAAAATGATATTAAGTTCATATTTTTAAAACAATGTAAAGTCCATCAAATAGATGAATTAATGCAAAGTTCACCATTTCTATGTATAGAGACTTGTCTTAAATCCATTTAATAGTTCAACAATAGTGATTGTTTCTCGGTCAATTCTTAGTGAATGGTTCCAAAGTTCTAAGGTTTTTCTTAGAAAAATTCTCTAAAATGTGAAAAGTGTAAACTAATACACTCTGATTCTGGGGTCCAGATATTTTCATGTACATAAGTATATGTAATCTTTATATTCTATTAATTTAGAGATTTAACTAATCTTCCTGAAAAAATTCAATTTTCTTTCTTTGGCAGATAATTATTTATTGGTAGAGATTTGATGAGGGAAAAATTCTAGTTAAAATTTCTTTTGTGACAATAATAGTGGAAAATAATAAAAATATCAAAACTATTCTTTGTATATCAGGATACTGATATCGTAGAACACCTGATCTTACTGCAAAAAATATGATAGGTAGTTCATATACATTAGAAATTCTGCCCTATTATCATTGGATATTAGCGTAAACGTTACTTATTGAGGTGTAATATTTTCTAAACGAAAAAATGTATTTTAACATTCTTTACAAATTTTGAATTTTATGTCACGCTTGAAACGTGATGTTAACCAGCAATCCGCTATTTTCTTAATAGTATACTTAGTATACTTTCTAAAAGTAGAAATATAATTTAAATTCAAATGATCTTCCCAACACATTTACATCATGTAAATGGCGTGGTGTTTAGAAATTCAGTGATCAATATTTTCAAGATAGTATAAATACTTAATTTCGTTATAAATAACTGATAAATATCGAATTACTCAATGGTACGTCTTATTGAATTAGTTTGCAGCTTAATGACTAATTAGAATTTATGTAACTCTTTTAGAAAGTAATGAATTTATCGGAAAAATAGAACTTATTTGTACAATACAAGTAATTTATCAATTACATCGTAATACATGTGAAATTATTTAATATAATATAGTTTACGAAAAATATCAGTTTCTAAATTGAAGAAGATAATTTCAACAAAAACGTACAGTAATAACGTGAATTCTGCGAAGATTATACAAAAATAATTCACAATTATCTTATCGTTAGACATTACCTGTTTATGTTAAATAATGCAAATCTCATCTCACGATTGAAAATATCGATTGAATGTTCAATATGTGGGAAGTCAGAGAGCTACTATAATAACAAATGCTATTCTAAGAGAATTTATTAATCCTACACAAAGACGTTACTGTATTACTTAAGAACAGAAAATTTATAAGCAAGTAAATTATACATGTACATTTGTTCGCAGGGTCAAGAATTACTGAAAAAAGCAATCGACGACTTGAGACTTGTTACAAAGAGGTACGCAAAAAAGCAACAAAAATGGGTCCGTAACCGTCTAATTCGTCGCAGTGATAGACAGGTACGTGATTAGATATCACTAATATCTAAATCGAAATGTTATAATGCATTAAGCTTAAAAGTTTAATTGACAATTAAATATTCTAAAAAATTAAACATATATTAATACGAAAACTGCACAAATGCCTTTCATTAAACTCTTATCACCGATAAATATTGATTTATTTATTACAGTTACAACTACAGTATCTATTGAAATGAATAAAAAGTACACTATGAGCACTTTACTTAGTACAGATTTATTATGCGGAGATATAGGGTGCTTCTGAAACAATTCGCCATAAGCTAGGAATTTTTCAAGATATTCCTAGTTCCTTCTTAAGGAGATGTTAGATTTTCATTGAAATGGAAGACAGAAAACTGGCACAAACATCTGTTTTTATATAAACATCCATCTTTATCTCGATTTGTTTCCCCTATAAATAATTTCCAGAACTATATGTCGATAAGACATTTTTTTCTATGGGACGATTTATATTTGATTCATAATTATTTCAAATTATTATATTTTATAGGTACCCCGCGTATACACACTAGACTGTACTGATTTGGATAAATGGGATAGTTCTGTGTACGAGCAAGCTGTGAAAATAGTGGAAGCAACACTTAGGGGAGAAGAACCGCTGCAGAAGCCTTTGAACGAGTCCGTTACAAACCAGAAACTTACAGACAGTAGTAATGAGGAATGTTACCATTGTGATGTATGCTTTCTTTGTCTTCGAATACTCATACGTACGTTCTCAAAATCTAAACAAACTCAATATGTTTCCGTAGGTCTGCGACAGGTTCTTTGTCGGCGATGTTCAGTGGAGTGCACATATGGACGGAGAAAAACATCGTAAAGTTTTGAAGCGGAAAAAGAGATTGGCGGAGCAGAATGTGACCGAGCAGAATGTAACAGAGGGGAGCGAATAAAGAAGACTGACATAAAACCATTTCTGTGATTATAATGCGTAAAAACATAGTTAGAAAATATCATGTATTGGGCGCATACTTTGTAAATAATGTTCAAAACTTTTAAATACTCGATATTTTAAATACAGTCTATTTTTTACAAAACAACCGTAACTATTTATTTATATAAATGGTACGTGGTTATGCTTCTTGATGTTATGCATGCAAGGTAGTACAGAAAAGCAATTATATTCATTTATCAAAAAACATTTTCCATCGATCCCTTTTTATGTACTATTAACACTATGACGACCAATGACGACACAGTGGCGCAATGTGAAGTGCCAACTGTTAGTCGATGACACGACACACTAGTGACACGTGAGTGTCAATTGGTACTTTTCGTATTATCTAAATTATAGATAGTCAGAGTTATTGAATTGTTTATGCACATGGCAAAAACCATATTTTATCGATTCTTGAAATACTCCAAGTTCCATAAATTTCAGTGTCATTCCATTTTTATTCAGAGTTTTGTTTCATTTATGTAAACATTCGCAACATTTCCATACGTATGTGATATTACACGAGATATACATACCTTGACTGTAATACGTATATTCCTTTAGGTTGTAATATAAAGAGTGTATCAGTATTGATGGTACGTGGCCGGGGAGTGGGTGATTCTATATGAGAAAATAAATCGAAAATAAGGAATAAAATTGTTTCATTTCAGACTTCGTTCGCGAGAAAATCGACTTTGAAAATCTACTGGATACGCATGTAATTGAATAAGTCTTGACTAACGTGTCTGTTCGCTGCATTCCGCTTCTACTTACTACCATGACGAATATACGCGTTATAGATGAATCTTCAAAATGGATTTTACAATTGTACCAGCAATTCTGGGACACCCTGTATATTTTGAGTATCTTTAAATGTACCTACTGTTAGAAAATTGGTATATTCTCCACACCCAGGTTATCAACCTGGCTTTGCGCCGTGGCAAAGGCACTTTGGCCCTTCAAGGAATGTCTAGATGACAAAACAATTCATTTCTGTCTAAGAAAAAGATCAGATGATACGTAGTTAGCTACGCCTAATGCATACATTTTTTACCTGTAACGGCCGACCGTTCGTAATTCCTTATCCCCACTCTCCGTATGAATCCTCGTAGCAGTCAAAAATTTGCAGTTAGTTTCTCGTGAGCCGTCGGAATGAATGGACGCGTGTCTCACTCCTTTTCTTATCTTGTACAACGATAGTGGTCTGTTTCAACAGGTTTCTACAGAAAGTAACTACATACTGCCTACGTCTTTTAATCTTGAGCTATAATAGTACCTGCAAAAATTGCCATAGTTGCTGGGGTTACTATATAATTTGCTTACGGAAGCACGTACAAGTGTCAGTCAGATTTCGACAGTTGCACGAGCAACATTAGACCGAGCTCGAGACTTGACGAGCAACAGCGGTAGAGGATCACGTTTCAAAACTCTTGCACATGCTCCGGGGGTTCCATGACCCCCGCGTTCTCGCCACACGGGGTCTCCGACGCCTCCACCGGGGGCTCTATGACCCCGCGCTCACGCCACACGGGATCCTGACGCCTCCATCGGGGGCTCCATGACCCCGCGTTCTCGCCACACGGGGGCTCTATGACCCCGCGTTATAGATACAATATTTATATATAAGTAACGATATTTTATAAGCCTGAATAATATCTAAGCCTACTTTTTCTGAATTTATATAAATATCATTACAAGTATATTGTAAAATCATATAGATAAGTAGGATTTAAGTAAAATAAGTATCTTAGGGCACTTTTATTGAATCTATACAAATATTATTATAAATATATTGTAAAATCATGTATGTCAGTAGTACTTAAAGCAATTGTTGTTAAATTTTTAGAAATACTATTGTAAAATGTTTATTTTCGTACGATTTTTTCAATAATAATTTTATCGGTAACGACAGGTATTGAAATTGACACTAAAATGGTGAGGCTATATAGCTCCTGATGCATGTGACAAAAAATTACATTGGATGTTAGGTCTATTTTATTTTATATCTCGTCTGTATCTAAATTTTAAGCTCCAATAATAAATTCGCGAGAATTGATTACTATTCGTAGCCCTCTGGTAGAGAATTAATGAACCCCTCAATCAATCTACAGATACAGTACACTTACCTTATCCTATAACAATTCTAGGTGATTCCAGGCAATGTTGACTTGATCAGTGTCAAGTAGCTGAGTTGTACAATCTGGCAGGCAAAGTGAAAGAGATTCAAAATGAGTACGTTGGATTGGGACGAAGTTAAAAGATTAGCTGCTGATTTTCAGAAAGCGCAACTAAGTTCTACGTTACAAAAGTACGATTTACGTTAATAGAAGATATTTACCTTTATTTATTGAATAATACTGTACATACAGTAACGTTTACACTTGATACATCTAAACAGCTGTAAAATTAAATTACAGTTTTTGTAAAACAAAATTAATAAAATGTATTATTATTCGTTATATATTGAACGACTTAACATGTTTTCATTTTTGTTTTTTCTGTGTGTATTATGAGAACTTTTCTTGTAAGACGTACTGGCAAGATACTTTATTGGAATTGTTTTAATTGCTTTTAATTCTATAGATTATCAGAACGAAACTGTGTGGAAATTATAACAAAATTAGTGGAAGATAAATTATTGGATGTAATATTTACTAATGACGGTAAAGAATATGTTACACCTCAGCATTTGGGAAAAGAAATCAAAGACGAATTATATGTGCATGGTGGAAGAATCAGTTTGGTTGAGTTGGCACAAATACTTAATGTAAATTTATCTCAAGTATCTAAAGTGGCAACTGAAATAGAAAAGTATAACAAAGGACTGAAAATAATACTTGGACAACTCATTGACAAAACTTATATGAACAAAATTGCTGAAGAAATTAATGATAAATTGATGCATCATGGAAGTATTAATGTTACAGAATTAACAATACAATATGATTTACCAGCTGAATTTTTGCAATCACTCATTGAAAAAGAATTAGGAAAGACAATATTTGGTAAACAAGACACACAAGATTTTAGAGTCTTTTATACAGAAAGCTTTATAGCTAGAAATCGAGCTAAAATAAGGGGGGCCTTATCTGCTATTACAAAGCCTACACCATTATCTGTTGTGTTAGGACAGTGTTCTGTTTCAGAAAGAATATTTTTCTGTAAGTACAAAAGGCAAGTTACTCACGTATATGTAATTATTCAATATTTCATATGTTTATAATTTACAGCAATTCTAGATAGTCTGCAAGAAATGAAACAAATTCCTGGCGTAGTAGCAGGAAAGCAGGGAACTAATAGTCTTTATATACCAACTATATATTCTAAAAGCCAAAATGAATGGGTGAATAATTTTTACAAACAAAATGGTTACTTAGGTTTGTACTTTATTGTAAAATGATATGAACAGTATGGCAATAACATATTTGTAAATGCAATACCTCATTTATGCTTGATATCTATGTTCTCTTTTCTGTCATTAGAATACGATGCCCTCAGTCGTCTAGGAATATCTGACCCACTAAACTTTGTAAAACGTCATTTCCCAAATGAAAATATAATATTTTTAATCTCTGTTGCTGTCGGTCCAACTATTAGCGATCAGGTATACGCAAATATCGAAGAAGCTGTGGCCAGTGGATCTTTTGTAGATATAAGCCCCCTTCTACCTTCTGTATTTACTGATGAAGATATGGAAATGCTTCTTAAATTAGCAGAAAAGAAATTGAACAACAATACATATGTATTTGCAAAAACTGTAGTGATGTCTGACGTATTTCTACAGTCATTGTATAAATCTTTTGAGACTGTGGCAGAAACAAAAGCTAGAGAAATAGTTGCTAGTGGTCAATGGTTTCAGACTATAGCAGAAAACAAAATCAAATCCAAGTCAGCAGATTTAATCATTGAAAATAAAGGAAATAAAAAGGAAGAACGTCGAAAGAAAGCAGCAACTGGTAAAGCAGGTGGTGGTAGTCAAGGAAGAGAAACAAAAACAAAATCTACTAAAAAGAAATATTTACAAGGAAAAGTTCGTGACAATGATTCTGATGATGAACAGTCAAAAATCACATCAGGAAAAATTGAGCTTCAGTTAGTGTCCTTGGAAGATATACAGAATGAAATTACAAAAGATGATAATTTGGCAGTAATTGATGATTTAATAGAAGAGTTGGCGGCATATTTGCAACCAAAACTAAACAGTCATGCACTTTCTGTTGCAGACCAATTAGCACAAAACAATAAAACTACTAATTTAAGTGAAATTGAAGAACGCCTTAATATGTTAGTAACAAATATTAAAATATTTGACAAAGGCATTAAGCATATAGATAAGGCTGATCAGCCAGCTTTAACAAAATATTTACTAAAATCCCTTGGTACTAATTTTATAACAGAGCTATTTAAGTTAGCTGCACAGCAAAACATGTTACAAATTTCCAATAATATTACTACTGAGACAAGACAAAAGATGCTGTTTGATTTACCAGATGATGTCAAAGAACCTTTGAGTAATGTACATAGAGCTGTTGCAGGAACTTCTATAGATGATTTTTTAAATGTTGTAGATGCAGCAATGGCATCTTGTTGTTTGGTATTAAAGAAATATGATAAAAAGAAAGAAAGACCATTTATTTTAGGACACAGGGAAGCCTTATTGGAAGAATTGAATACTACACAAGATCCTGCATTGGCACTGCATCTTGTCACAAGTATACTATTTATTGCTGCAACACAGAGTGTTTTATATATGTCTGGAAGACATGTATCTACAGTTCTTTCATTTCTTCAAACTCATTTACAATCTTCAACAATGGCAGTACTATCTAAGTACCATGGTATAAAATACTTAATAATTATGATGTTTCATTCGCTCATATAAAATTTATACTGTCAGTATAGAGAGTGGCTCATATAACTTTATGGCTGTAATTATTTATGATACTACTAGATCAATCAGAGTCTTTTTAATATTTCAGCTCAGAGTGACATACAAGTCATATTAGCACTGCTTCCCGAAGTTTTCAAGGTTACCCATTTTGTAAATGGGGTCTCATAATCCTAATAATACAGAAAATTAAAAGCGATCTTGAAAGCTTCGAGAAAATGCATTATAATCAGTATGTAAGCTTTTCTAAACCAAAGTATTAAAGGAGAAATCATTTGAACTGATTCTATAGGACTGAAAATCAGTAGGGCGATACAAATGCAATCGTTCACACAGTATATTTTTAAGAATGATATTATATTGATTCTTATTTTACAGATTTGGTCTTAAAAAGTTTAACTTCTACAGATGAAGCAACAAAACTTGAAATTAATAAGGACTTGGAAACTACTTTAACAGAAATTAAAAGTATTGCAAATGAGTTTAAACAACACATAAAAACTGAAAAATCACAAGAATGAATACTTAAATGCTTGTACATAAATATAAATATTATCGATTTGTATAAAAATATATTTGGAAAATTTGTATTTTACAATAAATTATATAAAAAAAAGAAATAGTTTCCTTTTTAGAAATGTAAAATAAGAAACTAACTAAATTTTGAGATAACTTCACATTGTAAGTTAATAACAAATAACATTTTATTTCCTGATCAATTTAAAAATCTAAATAATACATGTGTAATTTTAAGTCTTAATCATTACATTTGTGCATTATATATCTATATATGTACAACTTTCCTTATACATTATTATCTATCAGTAGTGCTAAGTAATACTAATAAAATAGTATTCACTTGTATGTACATTACATACATTTTTTACTTACAACATGTCTCATATAGTATTCAATTGTATACTTTTTCAATTATAAAGTTGCTAAAATTCTTGTAAATCCAACACATCCTGCTACAACAGTTTGCCCAATACCCCATAACAATGCATATAATGGTGGCAGTGGATAACGTGATGCTCTATATACAAAAGCAACAGCTGCAGAGCTAAGTACTCCTGATGTCAGTGGCAACAATACTCCCATTATTATAATCAGTAATGGGAAGAATCTTTAAAACAAAAATTATTCGGTTATTGTATATTCTAGAAAGTTACACATACTAGAAAGTTAAACTGTAATTTACTGTTTCTACTACTAAATGAATAGGAGGAATTTTTGTAATATTTTCTTAAATGTAACACCAGCAACATATTTATTATTTCAGTGTTTCAATTACATTTCTTCTTTACAATAATAGTATAATAATATTTTACATACTTTCCATACTTATGTTGTCTTAGCGTAGCAAAGCAGATTGCACCAGCTATGGTATGGACAAAAATAGAAGAAAATAAGGCCCATAAAAATATTTGATACCACATTTCTGTAACAGATTTATATTGAAAGGAATCTTTGTCATAGACTCAGAACATTCTATTGAATTATAATGAATGTAAACCTTTTAAAAAGTCATGTAACATGGTATTTATTCGTACATATCTACATACCAGCAAATGAAGTTAATGGTGTATAAAATACATTGCCTGTATTTCTCAAATTAGGTGGCCGCAGAACAGGAACATCTGTTTGCGCTTCCATAATAAGTATTCACAATTGTGTTAAGCTATTGCTTTTATATTAATATTTTTATAAATATTCATATCACATTAACTTACTATAATGGAGATCTTTTAATATTGTGTCTAGATCTATAAACATAATCGTTCATGTTTTTGCAGAAGATAAAATTTTATATACATTTCAAACGAAGATCTGAAAAAAAAGAAAAGTAATTGTCTATTAGTGCAGTTTCAAACCTTAGAGTAATATTATGTTTGATACATGTGACATAACTTCATTTTATACTTTTAAGATCATTACAATTAATACATTCTATTAAAAAAAATTATAATTTGTTACTAAGTAAAAAACATTAACTAACTAGAAAATTTTAACTTACGTTTCATTCTAAATTTTTTGTATTATACGCATTATAGCAATTTATAAATTGCCATATTGACACATATCTCCTAAACATCTAGTCTGAATCTCTACGTGTATGTGACATTTTTAAATACTCACTTATACATTTTTAAAAATTGCTAACAAACACAGTTTGAACTAATCACTTCTAAGAAAGTCAATTCAATACAGAACATGTATATAGGATTCGGAACGTACTTTTAAGCCGCATATCCATAGTGCGTGGATCGGCTCGACGTTCCTGTTGGTAAATACGGTGCCAGTAACAAAATCATATATTCTTCACCTCTACCCGCGTTTATTCAAGCACCCTTTTCCATAAATCACAAAATTCATTCAACAGCATTTTAAAATTATCAATACCAAACTTTACAACTAAAGTTTATTCACAGTTCTTACATCCAAAGATATTTAGTGACTTTAAGATTATGCTCAATACACATGTAAACATATATAAATACAAATTGACAGCAGATTTCAAAGAACTGTTCGAAGCATGGAATACGAACTGTAAAATAATAATAAAATTCTTTTATTAATCATGAATGATACGTCGTCATCATCATCATCTCACTCAACTGTTTCTGAAGACACCGCTCAAAGTAACAGTGAAAACAATATGCGAGTTTATCAAAATGTGAAACTGGTTAGGGGTTATGTTTATATATCAAACAAATTTTCAATATTATTAGTATTTCGCGATACTTTCCTTATGATCGTCCATATAAACAATATTCAATAGCATTAATATAAAATTGTATTTTGTAATATGTATATTATGTATTTCTTCTATTTTTTCAGAATTTACAAGACATACTAAATCATTTGAAGAAATCAGATATAAATTTTCGAGCTCTTGAAGAAAAAATGATTATGACAGCTAAACTAGTTAACACAATCTTACAGGAATCAAGTTCAGTTAAACTTAGTAACACAACCTTACAGGAATCATCTTCAGATAAGGAAGTATCTTCTGAGTAGCTTGTTTTTCCCAACCTTACCTATAATATTGTATCAATATACTACATAAAATACATTTTTTATACAAAGTATCAATATTTTATTGTTTATTATACCAATAAACTGCCGATCAAAGCATAAGGAAAATTTATTTCAAAATTTCTTACAATCTTAACAAACACAAAAAAGTTAAACAATTTTGAAAAATCAGGAGTGTATTGAAAAAATGAATTGCGACAGTTTCCCTCAATCATCTTTCACGACAAAATATCCACTGATTGTAACTCGACACATATATTATCGCAGCAGGCAATCAAATCGACCGAATATAATACTAATGAAAATAACAGTCGAAGAGTGGAAACTGTGTTCTCAGTATGCCACGATTTGAACTATTTGCGCGTTTGGTATTACAATCACATCAATCACTTTATGATACTGTTGTTATTGTACTCCCAGTTCTTTTTCCGTTAGTGTTCACAAATATTTTCTATACGAGCATTCTGAAAGGAGACAATTAATCTGTCAATAATTTGTAATTAGATAATAATATTTTTCTAGCCGACGCACAATTTTGAAGATACCATTCCTTCTCCAACGATGTTTATATTAGAAATGTAAAAAAATTTCATTCGCGCTTCTCGTAGTTTTAATTCCAGAAATGGATTATTAACAGTAATAATGTACGAAATCATTTTCGTTACAAAATCACAATACAAGCCTACATGATAATTAATTTCAGCGGTGATTCCTCGTATTTATCAGAAATTGTAGTTAACTAATGATTCCGGTCTTACAATCTTATATTCGGTTACTTAGTGCTGTTAGCAGTGTTCCTTCGTTTCTTTTATAAGTATTCTTCAGAACACTAAAAGAATTAAAACAGCGTGCAAAAAAGTTAAGATTTACCTTTACGTACCTTCATCACTAGTACACGATAAATATGAAATAACAATTCCGTAGATTCTCGGAACTAAGAAAAAATAAGAAACTGAAAGAAGATATATTTGTACGCGATAAGAAATACAATGACATTAGCGCATTTCATCTGACTACAGACGTTACAACAAATTTTTTATTATATCAGTATCCCTGTATCGACGAACATCTAACAAAGCCATTTCTTAGAGGACACGCCTTATTTCTGAACATGTTGACTAGTAAATTATTCATTACCTCGAATTAACAAGAAATCGAATATTTCACGTATTTAAAAGAAAAAACAGCTACTTACGAGTCTTCAGAAAGGGTTTCGTATAAAAATCTTGCATCGCACTCGGTTCGAGTGACAATAAATCATTAATATTGCCGGCAATTGGTAAAATTGAATTTGTCACGATATTCTCCTAATTTGTTGTTTATCGCACAATTATCCCCCCGTCCGTTCCTGGCGTGTTTCGCGTGTCAAGGAATACACCCCCCGGGCAAATTGGGGAGGGCTCTCGCACGAAAGTTTGGCCAGTCCGAATGCTGGTGGTGCCGACCGAGAGAGAGAAGATGCCTCGTTGGGGGTAATTGCGGGGCCGCCTCCTTCCTGGCACGATCAGTTTCAATAAAACTAATTATCCCGTTGGCCGGTCCTTTCGAAGTAAAAATCGATGGGGCATAGATGAGGGTGGAAGTAAATTGGAGACGACTATTACGTGTGCACAAACGAGACGCGCGCGTATAATGAATTCAATTGTTTGGTGTGGTTTTATTGCCCTACTCCTCACTATGTCGTCCAATCCGGAATAAGCGAGGGCGCCCGTCGCTACATTCGAAATATATAAACGTGTCAATAACTGTTCCTCGACGCTCAGTCAGTATTTTTATTCGCCGCTGCCAAACTGACGATTAATAGTGAACGCCGGCGTTCGTTTCCACGTACGAGAGAAAGTCCGAGGAGAAATGGTGAGTTTGATTTTAACCCGGGAATCCTGTATACTGGTTCGCCAATACAATCACATTTTTTCTCACCTCTTTCACAACACTTGGCCACCCGCGAATCAGAGACAGAGACGACGAGAAATGAAAATGTTTGCCAATTTTTTTTTTAACGTTATATATCGGATCATTATTGGATACTGAATTTCCTCTCGAGAAAAAGTATATGACAGTCCAGAGGAGACTTTTATTCCAATAATTTTATTGTAAAACGTGTTACGTTAAACTCTTTTTTTTTTCTCGGAAAAGGAATATCGAATTAAAAACTCGAAATTATCGTCAAGTTCGATCGTTTCTGTAAAGCACTGCATATTTTTTTTATCGCGGTTTGTGGTTTCCCTGATATTATCTCTAGATTAAGATACTGTTAAAGGGCCCCGTGGAAAGAGGGCGGCGAGATCGTAGGGAAGATACGAAGATTGTATAAGAAGTTGCATCATTCGGTTCGAAACCTCCTCCCGTGATGTGCGCTCCTAGAAAGCATCTCCGGCGCGAGTATCTTTATCGAAAGTTATATCTCGTAGCGGTACCAGGATTAATAGTAATTTTGCGCGCTTTATCTACGTGTGACAATTACCCGTCGTGATTTTAAGATACAAAGGTAAGGTGCTGAGTTTCGTTCTTTTATCGGCGAATACGATTAGTCATTTCTCTACGGGTGCTTTGTGTCGGGCCACGTGTAAAGATTGACTTTATAAAGAATGGAAATAGAAACGGCGGATATATAAAATTCGTGGAACGATATCGAAATAATAATCGTAGAAACGTGAAACACGTGGAACAGGTTTAAGAATATTAAATTTTTAAATTGTATCTAACAGCTTCGGAAACTAGGTAATGTTCGGAGAACTGCAGTCTATTTTTAGCGTATATATTCTAACGAGAGAATTGCAATCCATTTTTCTCATTTCAATCTTCATTTTTTTTCGGGCGTTGTTCGCGAGAGAAACCTAAACTGAATTACATCTGTAAAATTTTTAATTACAATTTATTTCCTTTAAAACATTTCACGTTTTAAAGCAGTTAAGTGTTTCACAGTGTTAATCTCTACCTCTTGTGAAACTTGTATCAGTTTCTAATCGCAGCTGTAAAGTTTCACTCGTAATTAATCATTCACAGCCGTAAAACTGTACTAATACTTTTAATCGTCTGTATTTGTTACTATTTAATCACTGTCGCACGTATAATTCACAGCTGTAAAATCGTACTAATACTTTTAATCGTCTGTATTTGTTACTACTTAATCACTCTCGCAAGTATCGGTCCATCCGAAATTCCAGCGAATGAAAGGCTAATAATTACATTTTACACTGCTTCTAAAATGTTCGAACGGTGAAATTAAGAAACATTAAACACTCTACTTCGTCAATTTTCTATTTACAGAAGGGGAAGCAACAACTGCCTACACATGAAAATCAATTGTCCGTTTCGATATATTTATTTTTATAGAATGTTAAAACGAACATGTAACGAAAACAATGCACAAGACGCGGGAACTTCTAAGATTATTTTTTTTCTCGCGACGTTCACGCTATATTAATTTCAATGCATATTTAAACGTTCCCGATAACATTGTTGTACTGGCCACGATTGCGTATTATCGGGTTTAGTTTACATAATAACCGGCGATTACCTCCGATTATGCAACTTATTATGCGCCCGTTAACAAATTATCCTTTCACGTAAATGGCTAGCCACAAACATTTCGCCGCTTCTTCATTCAAGCATCGAAAGAACACCGTAACCCGCGCGCGTCTCATAAGAAGATACCTAAGTCCCCCAATATCTCGGAAGTTTCAGCCACTTTTAACTCGCCTCTCGGAGTCGCTGCATGCGTATTTTGCAGCAAAAAAAAGGATAACACACGCCTCAGGCCGTCAACGCGCGCGCGCCCGCGCTCGCGTATCATCGTCCGATTCTCCCCTATTTTTTGCACCACATGTGTTTCATTAACGCCCAGGCGAATTCGTTTCCAAACGCGTCGCCTCGTTAAGCAGCCCGAGTTACTTAATCTCCGTTAAACCGTACGCGTGACCTTCCTTACACTTACGGGTAAGAGAGAGAGAAAGAGAGAGAGAGAGAGAGAGAGAGAGAGAGGCGGAGAGAGAGAGAAAGAAAGAAAGAAAGAGGGGCGGAGAGAGAGAGAGAAAAGACAGAGCGAGAGAAAGAAAGAGAGAGACAGAGAAAGAGTGAGAACCCGTATAGAGAAAGGGGAGAGAAACGGGACGAACGCCGGGGGACGATAAAAGCCGGGGCACGGCGTTATGTCCGTTCGTGAAATTTCGTGACACATACAAGAAATGGTCGTTTGAAAGTCGCCGGAACCGGGCAATCGGCACGGTGGCTTACGTTATAAAGACCCGATAGTACATGCCGTGGAAAGGAGAATCTTGTGCGAGGTACAGATTAAAAGAAAAAGAATGAGACAGCCCTGGCATTTAAAAGCCGAAGGAATTCGTTCTGTCGGCCCATTATCGGACGTAAAATACCGTTACAAGGATGCGGCGAGGTATCCCGAGGAGGCATATTTCGAATTACGATAATACAATAAGATAAGGAAATCTCTAATTTGGTGATTTCGATGCTTCGCTTTAACGAGCAGGCCATGCCGGACCTGTTGCACGTCCCGGTATAGGTATACAACCGGCAATGCCTATGGTACGGATAGTTTTGATACAGATCTCCCAGTTCGTTTGAAAACCTCCGACACCCGAGCACACCAATATTCGTGAGATTTCGAAATCGATTATTTACGTGGAATTTCAATACTTTGCCCGCGGATCGAATCTTCCTGGGAAGAACCGTCGACACTGAACGTAAATTCCCCGTAACGCGCGTCACCCCGAGAAGAAAAGTGTATTGAATCACGAAGTTTAATGTGAAAAGTGTATTGAAAAACGTAGGAAAAAAACATACGAGAACAGAAACACGGATATAACCGTAATGTTGTTGTATGTATTATCGACAAATTGTTAGATGAAATTAACTCCGTAATACCGCTTCGCCCGATAAGAGTGACTGCTCAAAAAAGAACAAACGGAATGAACGATGTTCGTTATTACTGGAGATATTTAATTATCACCGTGTTCTCCAAGAGTTTAATTTCATTGTTGCCAATTGTGTTTATTCGTATCCTCGAGGAAGGTCGAATGAATCGATATTATAAATCGCGCACCTAACCCGACAATTAAATCCGCATTGTTATATTCAATCGGTTCAATTTCTGCGAAAAGAACGTGACGTTGGTGTTCTTCAATTTCTGATTCAATCATTGAATCAGAAACACAATGTCCTTTCACGTTCGTTAAGCCGCGCTTCTTTCACATTCTTTCATTCAGATGGTACCCGTTACACGTTACATTTGATATTTAAACAATGCAATATATATTAAGCTTCTTTATCCGCCCGTGATCCTCCATTGTTTATAATTACATGCTGATTTCAGATGCAACCGAATTCAGCGCTGTTAAATCTCGTCTGCATTATCACCGTGTCGTATACGGTTTCGGGACACCCCTTTTCGTTCCTGCCACGGTATGCCGTTGAACGAGCCGCTGAGCGTAGGAGCATAGGAAGACAAATGGTCGAGCATAGATCTAATTTCCTAACTCCATTAACGGAATATGGAGCACGATCTGTCGAATCAAAGGTAACACATTTCGAGAACCTCGAGAAACAGATAAAACTTTGATTAACAATGCGATATAATCGTAAACTAACTCATGAATGAATTTAGTACATCTTATGAGTACCAAGGTACTTATTATAACATTTAACGCAAATTGTATCCCTTCTGAATAATTTGCCATTAATAAAACTCGATCAAAATGAATATAAAGCTTGATGAAAGTTAACCCCTATTGTAACTTCTAGCCTGTGGAACCATGGACCAAAATTTCTCAGAACCCCGTGAATGGCATCGAGACAACTGTCGGGTAAGTACCCGGCGTCCTAATGTGAAAAAATGAAGATGGTAGTGAATAATAATACTAAATTGTTTCTTCTGTTCTTACAGGAGCAGAGTAGAATTGGAATGCAAAGCTAGCGGCAGCCCGCCACCGGAAATTCTTTGGTTCACCGGAAGTGGCACCAACGAGCAGGTGAATGTCACGATCAGACGTCATTTAATTGTATTAAAAGTATACGGAGGCGAGAGCGTGTGTAGAAGATATTAATTTTTAATGTACGTTTTGTTGTAAGCTTGTTGAATACGTCAAAGCCAACACGCATTCTCTGTACGATCCATCTGAGGAGTGGAAAGGAGTGGCCAGAATTAATTCGAAGCTCGTGATAGAGTGCATTACTCCGGATGATGCTGGATTGATCTACTGTGCGTCGGTTTCTGCAAGAGAAGTGAAGGTATCCACTCCTACGGCGCTACTGGTTAACAGTAAGTAGAATACAATTAACAATTAACCGTAGTCATTACCAATCAATCTGTACTAACATTAAATTCTACGTGACCCGGCGGCTTTTGTATCGCGTACCCGACTCGTATGCCCCAGTGGCATTGATTTTATTGGTAGTAATTTTTTGGCAAATGAAACTTAAACGAATGTAACATCATGTTTTGTTATCAATTATTGTTTAATATGTTTACCTCTATTACTTTTTTGTAACGTTATTAACCCCTTGCGGTCGACGGGAACTGTACCAAGACACAAGGGTTTTAATAAATTTTAATATGCACATCGTTTGAGTACTTTAAACTTTGTACACGTAACAATTCTGATATCAACGGATCGATAACAGGGGACTAACTTTCGAAATATTTGTTTCTTATAGGCGAAGAAAGTGCCAGCAGCAATTGCACTTCCGAAAGCGACCCAACAATTACTCTATACTCCCCCACACGTGTAGCTAACATAGGAGCCACTGTTGTACTACCATGCAGAGCGAGTGGCAAACCAACGCCAGAAATTTCGTGGGTGGACAACTTCAACGTACCCCTAAGTCTCTCGACGAATCTGCGGCACCGAGTTTTGGATAGCGGTGATCTTTTGATAGAGGAACTTTTATGGGAAGACATGGGTGGTTACACGTGTCAAGCCAAGTCTGGACATCGTCAACAAGTCGTCAGCACGTTCCTCTATCCGTTACGCGTAAGTTTACACAATTCTGTTAAATGTTACCGTTATTATCAACAATAACGTGTTTTTCGAAAATTTCTCGGAAGTTTATAAAATTCGAAATTAAACGTTGCGCAACGACGAATTCATTAAAATATGATCGAATTAATTCGTTACAGCCTGAAACCGAAGTGGACCGGACGGTTAATTGAAGAGTCACAAAAGAACGAGTCTCGATTGCTTTGATCGGTCACCTTTCCATTATACGATGTACGCGACAAACGGGATAGGATGTAGGACTTGTGCTATGTTTCGGTGTTCGTTAAAGTCAAATGGTATTGTTTTAGTATATAAGGGCTGTATATAATTCTATGTAATAGAATTATATTTTTAGTACTGAAACCTCGAAAATGCGTTCGACAATTATCAACGCTTTATTTAGTAACTACTAATGGAATTCAACTATCGTCTTACTTAAAAACTTTATGATCGATTTTAATGTGCCAAAGAATTTTTTTTATTGCATTATGTTACTGATTTTAGTTAGAGTAGCGAAACCAAGCTATTTCGATATTTAATTATTATTATATTTTCCATAATACTTCTTGATCGAAGTTGCGTATAGTTTTATCAACTTATTTATTTATTAAACATGTACAGACTAAACTGCCCACGCAAGCGGACAACAATGAAAGATACTTCGATTAATATTAAGATTAGTTATTAAACGTAAATGCCTGGTGAACAAAAATAGTGTCGCCCTTATAACTTGACTATTATTTCGCTTATTATTCACTAGTATTAATTATTATAAGTTATATATCTTGAGTATTGTAGTGTATCATTCGCTTAGTTTAGTATAATCTAATGTCTATTGTGAAACGCTATGTTTTTATGTATAAATAAATGTATTTCTTTTCGTACAGTGTTCATAAATTTGTGATTTATTTATTCCTCCCCACTTTATTTCAGATTTCGTTTTTTCTATGGAATTAATCTTTTTAACAATATTTGTTTCTGAAATGTTCAAGTTATTATCTAATGCAAGTCAAATGCAAATTTGACCTTGCAAGTTGGATCTTTGAGTTGTTCAATAGTGCCTTATCATTTTTGCCAAAACCACGTGTTCGCGGTACTTACATATTAAAAATGGGAAAAAAGTTAACAGCGAAAATTGGACCTTCGATTTTGAATGCGGACTTGGCGCAACTTTCAGAAGAATCACAACGATTAATTAACAATGGTGCGGATTATTTGCACTTAGATGTTATGGATGGACACTTTGTACCCAACCTCACTTTCGGACACCCATTAGTAAAATGTCTCCGTAATAAAGTAAAAGAAGCTTTTCTTGAAACTCATATGATGGTTTCTCATCCAGAACAGGTATATATCTAGTTCTAGATTTTTACTTAACTGTTGTTAAATGTAAATTTGATGACTGTTAAATAGTTCTACTGCTTAATAATACAATCCTTCTCATACTTTCATTCAAAGTGTTTCTATCAATCATAGAAACAGAGTACATTTTTTTTGTCATTTTAGTGGATAGAACCTATGGCTGATGCTGGCGTTATATAATTTACATACTGAATGATCTACAAATTTTTTATAATCATTTCATCATAAGTCTGTTAAATTAAGGCATTTTAATTCAAATGTTTTTAATAAAAGGTCGGAGTAGCACTTAAACCTGGAACACCAGTAGATGTAGTTGTAAATTATGTTGATCTAGCAGACATGGTATTAATTATGACTGTAGAACCCGGTTTTGGTGGTCAAAAATTCATGGAACCAATGATGGAAAAAGTAGCATGGCTAAGAAAAAACTATCCTACTTTAGATATCGAGGTAGATGGAGGTGTTGGACCATCTACTATTGATGCATGTGCAAAAGTATGTGTCATAAGTTAATTGCATATTGTTGCAGCACAAAGAATATAATATAAATATTTTTTTTTAGGCTGGGGCAAATATGATTGTATCTGGGACAGCAGTCATAGGTTCCTCTGATCAAGCCAAAGTTATAAAGACATTAAGGGATACAGTAAATTGTGCATTAGCATAGCTGAAAGTTGGAGGAAAAAATAATTTTAAAAAATATACAGAATGTAAATTTTGTGTATATATTAAAAAGTTTTTTAATTTAGCATAAATTTGTGTATACTGTTTATTTTTATAGCAGTCTAGTTTTTATAGCATTACTTGTATTTGTTTTTATAGAATTACTTATAAAATTGTTAATTATAAAATTAGACAATAAACAAATTTCAACTAGGAGATAATTTTGTTCTTAATTCTGCTAAACTAATTAAAATAGCTTCTTCTGTTCTGATAGTTCTTGATCCTTGCTGTGGACAGGTATTCAAATATTTATGAAACACTAAGGATGGATCATCCACGTCTAAATTAGAATCAACATCCACTGCAGCTTCTAATCCACACAAACCTCCAAAAACTATTAAAGCATGATGATACTTCATGCTATGTGGTTCAACATCATCAACAGATATTCCTTTATCTGAAGTACCAATTGTCAAATCATATCCACCTTTATAAGGACATTGTGTCAATGTTTCTGTAAGATTGTTAGCTAATCTTACTGTATATCCCCAATATATGCCAGTGTCTGATTTTGGAACATCAGGAGGTACAATGAAACCCTTTAACTTTTTTGGGTTTGGTTGATCCTCAGGTATTTTCACAGTAACTCTCAATCCAGTAGTTAATACCTTGTTTACATGAACATCATTTAGCAATCCCACATTAACATGAGAACCTTTACCCACTTTTACTGCTTTATTTGTAATTACTCCTTCTCGATATAAAGATACATCTTGCTGACGTAAATGATGTGGAGTATCTAAAGGATTTAATACTCCAGCATATTGCAAATCTTTATGAATTGGAAAGAAATATTTTCTTAAATACTGTGGGCACTCAAGATATTGTAATATTCTAGCTAATTGTAAGCATCCAATTCTTCTTTCACCTAATATTTCGTCATTTCTCACTTTCTTTTTTTCACTTTCAGTTATTTCTCCTTTATCGTCAAAAACAACAATTTCATCGATTTTGTAAATGCTTGCTGCACGTGCTATTTGCCCAGCCAAATACGTTCGTAATTCTGGAGATTGCGCGTTATCCAAAATTGACCCAGGAATCGCAATGCTCATAGTTGAAATATCTTTTTTCTCGAAATGTTTTTCGGTAGTTCCTAGCTTTTCATTTTGCAATTCTTTATTGCTTTCTTCCTTCTTCAATTTTTTTACTAACCTCTCTTCCTGCCATTTTTTTCGTTGTTCTTTATGTAAACGATTGGTTTCTTTCCAAGTTTTTGACGAAGGAATTACTGACGCCATAACTTTTTAATTGTTTAAAAGTAATTCATTAAGATTTAAAATTATTTATCACTTTCTACGAATGCATTCTTCAACTATATTTTCTTAAACATGGCAGAAACTTTAGGGAACTATAGGGTACTACATAATACATGTAAGCAATTGAAGGAAGTTGAAGCTAATTCAACTGATTTCATTCCGTAGCTTGCTTGCTTTCAATTAGTTGTTTGTACTAAATTCATATCGAATTTATAAAAAATAAAGTTGTCAATTTGTAAAAAATTATGGTTACAGAAGAGGGTTTTGAACAGGTATTTGTTGTACATATAAAATTTTATCATTCTAAAGAATTTTGATATAAATTTTGTATCTCTAACCTTAGTTGTCATCTATTTGAAATATATTTACCTCACTTTCTAGAATGTATTTTTCTGGTATTGTTAAGAAAATAATTGTTAATGAATATTGCAAATCTAAAATATAATTCTCTCAGTTCGAAGATGAAGAAGCCGAAATTCCGATTGGTGGAACTTTACCCGGAGGTAGAAAACGATTGTTTTCAAAAGAATTGCGCTGTATGATGTACGGTTTTGGAGACGATCAAAATCCATATACAGAGAGTGTGGACTTATTAGAAGATTTAGTTATTGAGTTTATTACCGAAATGACACACAGAGCTATGGAAATTGGACGTACTGGTCGTGTTCAAGTGGAAGACATAGTATTCTTGGGTAAGTACTGTAAAAATTGATTTCTATAATATAACAATATGTTTACTTTTTAGCTTACTATGAAAATGAATGGTATATATTATGCTCTAATTGAATTTACTCTATCCTTTGTGCTTTCATTGATATACTTGAATTATGATAAATGATTTATCATTTGAAGTGCAATGATGTAATATGTATAAATTTGTTTTATGAATTTCATAATCATTTTGTTTTACAGTTAGAAAAGATCCAAGAAAATATGCGAGGGTAAAGGATCTTTTAACAATGAATGAAGAATTAAAGAAAGCTAGAAAAGCATTTGATGAAGTTAAATATGCAGGTACTGTTACTCAGTAAACTTGTATTAACAGTCTGTTAATATTTAAGTGTATGATAAACAATTTTTGTTTTATTTGAATTTATTCTTCTATTAAAGATTTATTTAATTTTTTAATTGTGTTTTATTTACGTTTTTTCAAACTGTCTTGAGAAAAAAAGTTAACACTTTAATGGACAGAACAAATTCAAATAGAAGTTACTCAGATATAAATAAAATATTTTAAATTTTGAACTTTTTTGTTACAATTGTGCAATAGTACTATTAAGAATAAATATTGCATTGTAGTCGTTGCACAATTATAATTTATCTACAAATATGGAATGCTATGTGCTTGTATATTGCATCTCTACAATAGTACTTTCTGCTTGCTTATCTATAGTGATTTAGAAATACATAATTTAAGAAGAGTGTCACCTACCTAAATTTATTTTATATTTCTTATTTCATAAAACATGCATCAATAAGAGAATGATGGATCATCAAAGCAATGATAAATACACATTATGTTAATAATATTCTATTGGTACCAGTATTCTAAAACATGGCAATAGACACAGAGAAAATTTATTTACATGTAAACCTATATTATTGCTTGTCTATGCAATAAACATGTATGTAAGTGCATAATTTTAATAACTGTTACCTTATAAAGGACCAATAGAGTAATTTACATAATTATTATACATATTCATTTATAATTACAGATTTGTGTATTAATTGAAACATCCATAAACTGTTGCTATTACTACAACATTTTTACACAAATTAATATTAAACACTTTAGTTATGTACATTTGCTAATTACCCAATTCTTCATTATGTTATTGTTTGCTTTTTAAACTTTTATTATGCAATTCATTAAAATAATGCATGTTTTCAAATTATATTGTATAACTTATTTTAGTTTGACAGCCGTGATTACAATAGTGTTAGTGTACATGTCTGCGTGTTGTTTTTATTTTTTTTTTATCATAGAGGAAAGCATTGCAACGTTTGCCTGGCCAAGCTGCATTTGAACTTTTTTAAATTATAGTATATGTGAATTGATATCAGAAACAGCTTGTTTTGCTGACAGAATAACATCATTGAGACTTACTCCTTGGTATGAAGAACCACACAACCCTAATGGAAGTTTGTGCGTCGAAATATAATTCTGGATGCGGGTCAAGCGTTGCATGTGACCTACTATGTGCTGCGGAATACAGTCCTTCAAAATGGAAACACTGAATGCCTTGGGATCTTCCTCAATGTGTAAGATTTCTTTCACTTGATTGACTGCTACGGTCAACAAGTGTTCTTCTGATGAACATTTCCCAAAGTATTTCTCAAACCATGCCCCTCCCATCATTACTGTTAGTACCTGGATTTTGACAATTACAAATGTTCAGTGTTAAGAAGTGCTTCTAAGTCCATTATATATTTGTAAGCAATTACTTAGATATTAAGAACCATTTTGTATCATTACAAGACGTTTTACAAATTTCATACAAGACATAACAAATTCAAACATACAGTATGGCATGAATTATGAAAAGTGATTAAAAAAAGAAAATAATAAATATCCCTATTTGTACATACTGTTGTTTTGGAGTTTTGAGGGAAAGCACATGAATCAAATATCACTCCTAAAATTGGTTTTTCTTCTTTTGGTGGAATAAGGACACCAAATGCTTTCATAGGTAAGACACTTTCAGAAAATTGAAGATTTACAACACCTACTGTTACAGTAGGTATGTCTTTTAGTTCATTAGATAATTCTGGATGTTGTTCTCGAACAAGATTAGCTAAACTTTTTGCTGGTAGACTTGAAATAATGCGGGAATAGTTTTTAACTTCACCATTGACAGTTAATTCTACATCGTTTTTATTAAATTTAAGTTTCTCACACTTATGTTCCATTTTGATATTGACACCACGTTCAGTTATATTTTTAGCTAGTGATCTTGGTAATTCTTCAAGACCTCCTTTAATACCCCACATAGCCCAAAAATCATCTTGAGATGTTTTTACTAAACTCTTATGTGAATTATTATCTAATTGCTTATTTATTTCAGTATCATCATTTTTTATTGTTTCGGTTTTCTTTCTTACAGTAGTTTTATTTTTATTTTTTGATAATTGTTCTAATATAATTCCTTTGATTATAGAACCATGTTTTTGTTCAGCATCAAATAAAGGTTTCATCAATGATTTTATACTTATTTTATGTGCATCTCCTGCATAGATTCCACAAACCATTGAACTAATCACTTTATCTGCTACATCTTGGCCCATTCTTCTTTCTATAAAACTATATGTACTTTCATCATCTTTAAGAACTTTTGGTGCTCTTAGATCATTCCATACAAGACTGAGTAGAGAACGATTCAACAATGAATTTTTTTTTATAATTCCCTTGAAAGTACTCGGTAATAAATGTAGCTCATTATCCGAGTATATTAAACGATTTTTAGATGCAGGATGAATGTTTCGAATAGGTATAATTTTGTCTGATAGTTTTAATTGTTCTATTAATTCTAATGTATTTTTGCCACTTGCACCTGAAGGTCGGATTGTTCGTGGACCTTGTTCAAAAATTGTCCCATCAGATAGTTCTATTGAACGTACCCAGCCACCCACACGATTTGTGGCTTCAAATATAACTATTGGTGCCATTTTCGAATTTTGAAGAGCATAATATGCAGCTGATAAACCTGACATACCAGCCCCTAGTATTCCTGTCATTTTGAATATATTAATAAATAATAACTTAAACTGAACAACAATTTTTACTTGTTATGTACACCACAATAAATTATTTAAAATAAAGTGTAATCCGATACCGAATCAATGATTTTTTTTGTTGCAATTGATACATAATGTACTCAATGCCATTATAAAGTAAATATTTGTACGTATAAAATAAATATTTAATTGTTCATTTGTATACGTTTAATATTCTTTACTTTTTATTACAAACTAATAGCATGACGAAAACAGTATCAGGTCTAGGTTAGGTTATGGTTACACTTCGAAATAGAATGAACACTAAACGCAACTAAACAAGTGAACGTGAACAAGCATATTAAGTCTATTTATCAGCTGTTATAAAATTCGCAGATTTCGGTTTCAAGATATTGATACGCAATCAAATTAAAACTTGCTATTGAAGAATTTCTGTTTTTATATATACTGTAATATTGTTACGCATACATTTCTTCTGAAATTTATTTAACATATTGAATCCTTCGTAATTGTAATCAAATAATTCAGGATTATCGAATATATATATAAATGATGAAAAAATTGTTTAGTAGGGAAACAACAAAATGATAATAAATAAAGTTATGTTATTACTATTATTCCAAATTTTTTATTTTAATCCATGTTCGTAAATTTAATCAGACGGAAATGGGTATACATAAGTACATACTATCGGCTTACGTCAATCGCTAATTATAATATATGAACGATTCTTTTGATTTTCTAATAATGCAATCACGTTTGTTGCATCGATCGTCACCGCCACCCTTTATGTTGGAGAGATTATATTAATTTAGTATTCTATTATTATATAATAGATTTTACTTGGATTCCTGTCAAAAAGGTTCTTTGATAAACTCATTAAACATTATTTTCTAGCAGTGTATAACATATTTCTATTGTTTATATATGTATGTATATGTTTAATCATTTATTATCATTACACTACTCAAAATTTTAAGCATAATAATCACAAAAATGAAAAACGGCAGTAGATTGTTGTCTATTCTTCTAAAAGTCTCAGAAAAAGCTGCAAATATTGCAAGAGCTTGTAGGCAGAATGATGCCCTTTTTAAATTACTTGTGCAAGAAAAATCAGAAGAAGAGAAGAATCCACGGTTCTTTCAAGATTTTAAAACTCTGGCGGATGTTCTTATACAGGAAACAGTTAAACATGACATTGAAAGAGAGGTAAGTTGAAAATTCTATGAAACATCTTATGCATCTATTCTGTACTTTGTTTTATCCAAGTATTAAAAACTTAGCACAAATATTAGTTTGGTAATGTATAGAACATATTGAATGAGTTTTGAAAATAACAGAAACAACATATTCATTAATGCTATTAGTTTCCAGAATTAGTCAAAGCAGTACAAGGCGAAGAAAACAACATATTCAGCAATGCTATGGGTGAAACTATAGTCATAACAGTTTGTTCTACAATTGAAGAAACTACTGAGTTATTAGCTAAAGTGATGGAAAGTGATATTACAACTGCAGAATCATTAGCTACAGAAGTTCATAAAGACATTGAACTCCTAGATGTTCCAGTAGCAACTGAATTACCTCTGGATCTTGACATTAATATTGATAATATTGGTATATGGATAGATCCAATTGGTAAGAAATGTGATAATATGATTTACTATGGTAGTATTCTATAGCAAGTTTAATTTATACATAATAATTATAATGTAAAATATGAAATACTAAGATTCTAATAGTTGGTAAAAACATATATAGGAAATTCATATGGTAAATAGGTTATTTCCATACTTTTTTATGTAAACTTATGTTTCCCTCTGTGTCAGTTATAGGAAATAGATCTTCCTTTATACACTCAGTTTTTTTCATGATGAAGTATTGCTTTCTTTATACTAAATTGCTGTCTTTTGTTATACCATGAAATTGAGTAGATTACTTGTCAAATGTTGTATTTGTTTTGTAGTTTAATAAAGCATGCCTGAGGAACAATTCGTGGAACTTTTGTAGATTCAACTGCGGATTATGTATATGGAGGGGAAAAGGTGGATGATGCTACTGGAATACATGTGAGCGGTTTGAGATGTGTTACTGTTCTGATTGGAGCATATTCTAAGAGCACAGGCATACCAGTTTTGGGAGTTGTTAATCAACCGTTTTATACAAATATGGACTCATGGTAAAATACAAATTTTTATAACATATGGTTTAGAGAATATTAATGTATTCTATAATTTGTTTAACAGGTGGAAAGGAAACTGTTACTGGGGATTTGTAGAAAATGATATGAGGCAATGTTCAATATCTAATGAAACTACTGATACAAAGGTGGCTGTTCTTAGTAGAATGGAAGATGCTGATATAAAATCTAAACTATTAAGTGCTGGTTTTACATTAGTAGAAGCAGCAGGAGCTGGTTATAAAATTTTAAGTGTTGCTCTTGGAGAAGCTGATGCTTATATTTTATCTAAGAAATCAACATACAAGTGGGACACTTGTGGGCCCCATGCTCTTGTACGTTCTTTAAATGGAGGTGTCATTGAATTTCAAAGTTTTATAAAAAATCCTGATTTGGATTATTTGGATGTAAAATATATATCTGCAACTGATAATTTTTCAAATAGCAATGGTTTGATAGCATACAGAAACATTGAAACTTTGCAAATATTAAAGTCTATTTTATGCAAATAATACATTTTCAGTATTATTTATTATATTATCATTGTGCTAACTTATTTAACATGTTACCATAGTATTTATTAGAGCATTTTTAATGCTAAATAAGAGGGACTTATTGATGTGGCATTTATTTAATGCAGTTTTACATTTTTCAATATGAATAATTTCTTTGGAAATAAATATGATTAGATGTTAAATGTGTTTATCACGTTATATTAGCATTTTAACAAATGGGCAAAGTACAAAAATGCTTGTGACAGCATTTAACAATGTTACCTGGAAAATTCTGCATTATAAAATTGTTCATACCAGCAGTATATTTAGGAATCATTCCTTTGTATTAACCAGCATTATGACAAATTTAACATTTTGTGGTCTACTACATTTCTGAGACAAATAGTTTTATTTGTTTTTAAGAACTATACCAAAACTATTCAGATGTGAATGTAAGAAAGAATGCAATGTGATATTAGGACTATTTGACTATAGGACAACAGAAGGTAAATAGAAGCTTTATTACCTATTTTTATTAATAAATGTTGAAAATACTCCTATGTGATAAACTAAATAATTCCAAAAAATCTTAGTAATCAAAGCTTGAATTTTATATTTCTATATTATTGACATTTTAGCAGATTATATTATGTATAACAAACTACATGAGAATGTATCAACAGTACTTAAAAATATGTAAATTATTTCAGTCAACGTGTACTAATGTATGAATTATAGATATTTATAATCCATAATATGTAATAAAAATGTTAAGAAAATATTATATACAGCCTTTGATTTTTCTTGTTGAACTTCACACATTCTTTATTAATCGTTTGGAAATTCTAGGTCTTTAGTAAAACATAATAACAAGTATTGATACATATACATAACAAATGCTTATGCGTACCAGGTAAGTATTGTAGCATTATTACAATAACTAGTTTAACCAAGTTCCCAATACTTTAAACAAATTTGGTAAAATGTAAGGTACAAATTCCACTGTAATTACTAAGAATTATTATGGAATCCTGAATTATATATCATCAAATGTTATAAATTTATTTATTATAATTTTATGTCGTTAGTTTCTTAACGAATTTCAAGCTCCAACTACAGTTAATATCAGGAATTTATGATACATATAACTATCACTTAACATACAATTATCATACTAGTGTCTGAACTTTTAGTCTCCTGTGAAGCTCAGTTTTTATATTTATTTAAGTGTGGTTATTTTCATTGTATCTACTGCTTTACAGTTCTAAACTTTAAAAACGTAATTGCGTTTAATACGTATTGCTTGTACTTACATATATATTTTCTAGCATCGTCTTCATTCTTCCCCACACTTTAGTTTTACTCTTTACTGTTGTTTAAAATCCTACAGTTGGGAACTAATATTCAAATATTACATACTCACAATTAAACAGCTTTTACTAGTACATACTTATTAATACTTACTCACTTTTGTATAAAAAATATAACGTATTTTAATTGCTTATATTCAAAACTGAATCAGTTAATGACGGATATCAATACTGACACTAACAGTACTGCAATTTACCTTATAGTGAGGCGCGAAATTATTTTCAATCAGTGGTATTTAAAATGTTAAAGAACCGCGAATTTTAAATTATTTCCATAATAATTCCCCTAATAAGATCCAATAATTTAAAGAACATATAATTCCCCAATTTTTACTTGTAACCAAGAAAATCTGTTTTCTTTTTAGAAGGTAAAATTTTCTATTTGTATACTTTTTTAAATACCAATTATTGTATTATTTATTTAAAAAATTTAATATTACACATATGGAGCAATAAGTGAAACAAGCAAAATTTATTCAAATTTTATTATTTTTCTGTTCAACTCTTGTGTTATATTAATTTTTTATTAGACATTTTTAACATTGTACATTACGCCGAAATCTAGTTTACTTAAAGTATTTCTTACAATAATGACTAAAAAATGTATATATATATTCAGGTCAAATTTTGAACCTGATGTTTGTACAAGGAACATTAATGTTTTTATGTACAGTGACCATAGTGCTTACAAATATTTGAAAACTTCAGAGGATGTAGGGATTATGTAACATTTTTGTTAGAAGTGAGTATTCTGAGTAAATGAAGGTGATATTTGGTGTTCTGGCAGATAGTACATTTCGTATAATAAAAAAATTCAAAGAGGATGAAGAATGTATGTTACAGAGGTAAAGGCATAAAGTATAACTTTTAAATTCAACTTAGGTACTACAAACTTAATACTTGTAACACAACATCTTCATTCTTTGAAGCTTTGAATTTCACTAAAAAATAAAGCGCATAGATTATTACCTTGCGACAGAAGGAATTTCAATTCATTTCCTTATTCCAATTTAAGTAGATCCGTATATTTTCTGTAATTTCATGTTTTCAAATTTGTTTTATATTTTGCGAAAGATGTGAGTTCCAAATAAATTGCTAATTGAATGTGCAGAACACATATTTCGATTTATTATGTTTGTACAGAAACTGCGTTTTGCAGAAATGAATCGAAAATTAATATCAAGCTAAATCTCGTTGTTTTGTTTCTCCCTTAAAGTAACATATTTCTTCAGGTCTAATTGCAAAGGTTTCCGTTACAATTTTTTAAAAGTTGTACTTATTGAGTTAGACATCTATCTTCACACTTACTTAATATGTAGCTAGGATTACTTTAACTATAAAAATTGTCTATAATTGTTCCTCCGAGTGAGATTCGAGACATGTAAATTGTCGTTGTACTTGTTGAGCTGTGGGTCGGAATGTGTCGTTCCGAAAACTGGCACTTCTTACAGGTGTGTTATGGTTTCCGTTTGTTTGGCGGCGAACGCTAATATAAGTCGTGCAAGTGTTCATACGTCGCAGGACAGAGTAACCCGAACCATCGACCCCTAAAACAGGAATAAAAATTTCGCATTTTCCGCGGCAAAAAGATTTGCTATACAGAAATTATTTAGCATTTTGTGAAAATGCACAAATTGTACAGTTGACATTGGTCCCAATTTTGATAGTATTGTGCTTACAAGTGTAACGCAGAATAACTCAATTTCTAAGTATTTTAAAATAATATTTTATTTTTCTTAATCTACATTTATGGTTCGCTTGAAAAGTATAGAATATACAATTATTTTAAGTATTACATTAGTTTATAACATAAAAGTTGTCGAAGCTACTTTTATCATTTAACTTTCCTTCGTCTGAAATAGATAGCACGTGTATCTTCAAAGTTATGTGATCGTCTGACATTCGTTACCAATACTCAGTTACAATTCAATTACCAGTTAAAGGAATTCCAACCAAACTGGCGTTTTGATTATCATTACGTTGCGTCTCGTTACGAAGAATTCGATGTGCCCCAGGTAAACGTCTGATTGCAGTGATAAAACCACTTCGAAATCTCGCATTCATCCAGCAATAAATAACTGGATTGTAACAGGAATGTGACATGGCCAGGCAATGAAGGACCATCCATAAAAAAGGAATTCCAGACCAACTCATCAGTCCTACGTCGTCGTCGTTGTCCATTATTAACTGTATAAAAGATTTCGTTTATTGATTAATTTTAGTTATTTTTTATGCTACTGTTATTATGCATATTGTACATGAAAATAAAGTTAGGGATTGCTAAGGCGAAACTATACATATAACACTTTAATTAGGAATCTAAAGTTTTAGTCAAAACACATTCTTGATCAGACAGAATTTCAAGACAGTATTGGCATTTTTTTACTTATGATGGAGGAATAAAGACCAGTAAATTTAACGAATACGTAATAAATATAGCATTGTTGTTGCATAAAAAAATAGAAATTTTCTAAAGAAGTTCTCAAAGCAAGAGAATTAATGTTAAATTCAAATCGTTAAGTCTTGCGTCATGACATTTCCGTATAGTGTAAATACGCTCAGCATAAGTAATATTTTGTGGTATTTTTATGTCTACATTTGCTTTAAGCTTTATTTGCAAGTCTCATAAAACGTAAGAATGGACGTATTTTATGTTGTTTGTACCGATTGTGTTTTATGAGTTTTTAGGTACTTTAACCTCCATGAGTATGGACGTATTTTATGTTGTTTGTACCGATTGTGTTTTATGAGTTTTTAGGTACTTTAACCTCCTATGCATATATAATTAGAGAAAAACAGTTGCATTAAAAGTATAAAACAGTAACAATAAATCACAATAGTCATTATGTAATCTTTTTTAAGATTATTTACAGTGTGTAAGACGACTCAGGAGTTCAGGAATATTAAAGTGGTGAAACTGAACTTTAATTTTCGTATATAAAGTTATCTTTTGCAAGGGGCTTTTAAAGGTTTGATATTTTTTCTAAAAGCTCAGCATTACTTTACGCGTCTGTAATTCTACATTTTCAAGAGTTGCGTTAATGATCTCAAGACGGCAGTTTAAATATTCCGAAGTGTAATTTCCGTCCTTAGTTATTATAATTGTCGTACGTAAGTCGTCGCCTACCTTCCGTTTTCTTCCCTTCATTATTAAGGATAGTGCAAAATCGGCGATAAACGGAAGCTAGTGTCCTACGTCGCCCATAGAAGGAGGGAACAACGTAGAAGCAAGTAAAGCGAACAGTGACGTTAATAGTTGTTGCTGTTGGATTCCAGAAATAATAGCGTCATTTATGAAAATAATCAACTTGGTATTTGCGTCATATGTTCAGTATTATAGGTTGGACATATTAAACAGGAAAGTGATGCCATCATCTCGATGGTAAGCGAGAATGAGTCTCAGTCAAAGATGAATAAATTCATTAGCTAGTTATTTTTTTTATAGACTAAACGTGGAAATTTCAATTTTTATAATAAAATGATAATTGTCCTTGAATGAGTAGGTACTTGGAAAACTATTATATTTTGTATTATGCGAATAAAATTCTGCCCAATTCTGGTCCCAATCATGTGTGAACTATCTACTTTTGAAATTGATTCTTATTAGAGTAAGTTTAGAAAACTATTACTTACTTAACAAATGATTATTCTGAGGTCAGTGTAATTTGTTTTTAAGTACAAATGTATTAGATGCCATGAAATAAGAATTCACAAAAACATTAAAATATTAATATTAAAGTAAATCAAAGCCTTGATTGTGTCTAGTTTTCCCGTGATCTATGCACAAAATATCAACTTTCTTCTACACATTTATTATATTTTTAATCAGTTTTTTTCATATCTATTTTATTTCTATAATCAGCAACGCACTTTTTCATATTCAGGGAATTTAACGACATGAGATTTATCAGAACAAGTCACTTACGATCAATATATTAAATGGGAGCCAACAGATAGTGAATACTATTACAACAGTCACCATCATCTTCACCATCTGAAACATAGATATATAATATTTTCGGATATTACATTTTGAAAATTAACATTTTATAATTGTTACCCTTTTATTTTAATACGGCTCTTCCTTATTTAGTAACAATCACAAAAATAATATGGAAAAGAAGCTTAAGCGAAAGCTACATTAACATGTTTTTATATTAAAAATTGTCCATATTTTCACAATATGTTCAAGTTCCTTGTAATTTTATGCTAATATACGTTCAAAATATTTATGCCGGCAGTAATGGAGGTGTTGAAAATTTCCGGTAAAATATGAGAAAAACGTGTAGCTGACCAAAGTTCGGCCAGAAAACATAATTCACGTCGAAATCTCTATTTTCGGTTGGGATGAACGTGGGGTATTATGCCGCTGCCGTTAATATTCTGCGGTCTGTTCACCCCAAGCTTATTTTACTGTGCGGCCAGCGAATACGTCTACGGTCGCATGTTGCCACGGATAACGGCATCGTTACCACATGGAAATTCGTAACCATGATAGATTACGATTTAATTTCCCTTGCGTGTTTAAAAAATTCAATTATCCTCGACAATGTGCGGAACCATAGTTTTCCACACTTCCTTTTATGATTAATCGGGGTTTAATGAACCCGTTGAACTGATGCGATCAACAGCAAATTTTATTTCACTGTAAATACTATCTATTATAAATACTTTGCTATTCGAAATTATTCGGTGTAGCAATAAGTAATTCACTATACGTGGTTTCATTATCGTGGCAATATATTTTAGATTTCGAATATCTTTTCAATCTTTTGTTTAGTCAAAATGGCGACGAATGATGGGAACAAATAACGAGTATTGTTAAAATTAGATAGGTATTTGAATTATTTCGAAATGAATGCAGTGTTTGACAAAAAATAGTGGACTACTAATTGGTACAACTAACATGTATACATATAATATAATGCTTTGGAATTATTCATATGTAATTGTAGATTCATAAGGTAAACGTAAGATTTCTGAACGTTCAGTTGGTAATTATTTAAATTAAAATTTGTAACAAAGTTCTATCGCAATTATAAACATATCTAACGGTATTCTTCTCAAGTGTTGTATACTTTCATTCTTGTAGTAAATTCTTAGAAAGTCCATTGCTTGAATTCTCATCGAGTAACAGAATAGCGTTACGTGATACGTATCGTGTTTTTCTAGGGTATCCTTAGAGGGAAATATTTTATATTCTACAGCAAGTATTGGTTTTCCTCTTCACAAGTTTGTTTCGAGCAACGTGAGATAAATTTGGAAGTTCTTTTGTTTACAGCCAGACACTTTGTTACTCCTTCTGAATTTTGATCACTGAATTTTCATAGTTACTACTTGTGAATCTGCTGCGCGTAAATTATGGCACATTCATCTTTTTTAGACATTTTTTACTCCCTTGCCATTTATTTCCAATTTCCCTTGTTTCAAATATTCTTTTTCGTGACTTTTTCTGTCCTCTTGTTTTCGAGTACACTGCTCCGTTAGTGATTTTTCTATCTTTCTGATTTTGAAACTGAGAACTTATTCCAAGTATTCGTTTGAACGCTACACATGATAATTAGATTAGAATTCTTTCGATGTGTCTATTATGATCATATAGAAATGGAGTTTCTCATGACAGAATTTAGACAAGTCGCAGGCATAAAAAAAAATTATTTTTAATTAAAAAAAAATGTTACTTTTAAGACAGATCTAGCGATTTTATTCTACGAAATATGTACTTATGTTATATTTTATTATTTATTTTATCAGTACAAGTATTGTTTAATAATCTATAATTTAAGTTAAAATAAACTTTTACTGTATTCCTATAAATTTGAATCCTTTTGTGTTTGTGGAAAAAATTTCATAAACACATTAAACATAATCATATGTATAATAAAGTAATGATTATGTTGATAGCAAAATGGGGTATTCCATTTTTTTCGCATTATCATTGAATTTATCAATTAAGAAATCCGTGTAATTTGTTTTTTTTACACGCTTAAATCTATCTATTGAAAGTTCGGTTATACAACCTTCAGTTATATGTAAATGATTCCATAATGATATAGAACGTAGACGACAAAGTGTTGCAAAAATAATTATAGTTCGGAATGTCTGGCTTTAGTGAAGTTTACTTGAAATATGTCCATGTCACTTGTTATGTACATGTCAAAAACGTTACCTAAAGTTATCGGTATTTCTGTATAGTTATTAATGTATGTGATAAATATAATAAATGTCGGTACAAAGGGTAGGTATAGTCGAATAAGAGGGTTCAAAGTGCCCTTACATTAAATCGGCCTGTCGATGGACCATCCGAATGCTTATCAAGAAAAAATACCCTCTATCTCGGCCAGGAGGGTAGTACAGGGAAAAAGCGGATTATCTGTTTTTGCTCTTTTTTCCCTATTCAATCGCATGCAAAAAATTTGATACGTTGTGGTTATCGGGGCACGTGTTAGAGGAGTTTTTCCGATTTTTTGGTTGAAACTTCTAGTTATCAACAATGACGATAACCAAACTCTATGAAAACTGGAATAAAGCTGAACAGTATACTCGCACTATGCGAGTTGTAATCAACCGAGCCCAGTTGTGATATGTATCTACAAAGCAACAATTTAACTTCTCAAAGTGAATCGGATACTATTCACAATTATCAATAAATCCAAATGACTGAACAGAAATGAAAAACATTTACTAGCTTTACTAAATGTGACAGCAATTATGTTCAATTACCAGTAAACCTCTAATTACTACATTAATCGTATTTACAGTAATATACATAGAAGACCACGAAAAAAAATTGTTTCGTTTAATCAAACTGTATATTAATAGTTACGCGACAGTGCAACATTTCAACGGATTATCCAACTGCTCCAATGCAGACAATAGAATGTTCGAAATTTCAAAATTGTTCGTTTCATAAAGGGGTTCGCAGGTTCACCTTCTTGCCATTTCTATCATGAATTTTATAGCGCCCTGCGCGTACGAGATATGGTAATGTGTATTTTTTTCCACCCTATAGAGATTTTGTCTCCTCGTTGAATTCCGTGCCGTCCTTTTTTTTTATCGTTCGCAAAACGTGCAATCGGACTATTTCTTCCTGTTTCTCTTATAGTTTCTCCCCCTTTTGTCGCTCCTTCGTTTTTCCAGTGTCCTTTGTCGCATTCAGACGCATTCCGATATGCGAGGGCAGCACCGTCGCTATCGCTGCGTTCATTCACTGGAAATCAAACGTTATATCTTTCGTAGTACGGTGCACCTCTATCTCGCGAGGGCCATGAAAAACGGCTGCACCGAATGTGTCGATGCTCGTGGCCGTAAAGAAAGAGCGAAGCACACCGACTCTACCGAGAACGATACTTTTCAAATATTTATGTTTCTTCTACCCTCAGGCCCGGTTCAAGATTTTTTGTGATCCAGGACTATCAGATTTTCGGGGGCCCCCTTGGTTGAAAAGCGACGGGTGGGGGGTTGTAATACAGCACAACCAAATAAATATATCTTTGAGAAATTTAAATTTATTTTAAATGAAATTAAATAACATTTAATCATAACGAAATGGAATGTACACTAACTTGCAAACTCGGTTTCCACAACGGGAAAAAGTGGCGTTAGAGAAAGGCCTCCTACCTATTAGTAAATTTATTTCAAGTGAAAAAAAAATTAAGTTTAAATTTTAATAATTCCCGATTATTCCCACTTATTCCCCTAGTGGAAGCAGAGTTTGCTCGTGGGTGTACAGAATGGGGCCCCCAGGAATGTGGGGCCCGGGACTACAGCCCCCCGAGACCACCCTTTGATTCTGTACTGCCTACCCTACGAAGAACAAGACGAAGCTTCGTGAATCCACGCTGCAAAGAGTCTCGCGTCTATCATTTGGGGGAGCCGACGAAGCACTTACGCGAAATCGTGGACCGCAGCGAGCCTGTCCGATGATTAACGACGATAATCCACGAAAGCACACCCGATCATTAGTAGGTGTACCAACCATTATCAATGTTTCGCATTAAAACACTGACAACCACGTTCGAGAAATGAGGCGTGAACAAAGAAGGATAAAAAATGAGGATCCGGCCGTTAGGTGAAATTAATCGTCGAATTTATCGTCTTGAATTACCGAAAAAATATTATCTTTTTATTCTTCTGTTGGACAACCGACGAAAAAAGGTCCAACGAATGCGTCTATCCAGAGGCCAGAATATATTATTCAACACTGGGTACGATTGTACTGAGCCCTTATTATTCCACACCACCGAAGGGCTAATTTCATCCCCTACCTACCAAATTTATAGTATGTACTCACGAAAGTATTTGAACAGTTGTCATAGAGAATGTATGGCAGCAAGTGGTACGGGGAATCTAGTGTTTATAGAAGGAATTTTTCATAAATATATCTGCACATTTTGCAATAAAATTTAAATGAATGTGCCGAGAAATCTGGACCATCTGAATGTTTCTATTTTTAAGGGGATAACGATCCTAAATATACAGTGAGAATTGTGAAAGACTGAAGTTTATTGAAATACATTCCCACATATTGTAAACACCACTACAGTGCCCTGATATTAATCCAATATTATTACGATATTAATACACCTATCATATTGTAAACACCACTACAGTTCCCTGATATTAATTCAATTGAACATTTATGGGGAATAATAAAAAAATAATTTTAAAAATTTGATATAACTTCGTAAATATTATTGATGGACAAAATTATTCAAATATGGAATTCTGTAACACCAAATATAACTAAAAATAATTAACTGCGCGAGTACTCTTGTGACGTGTGATGTGTAGTCTCACTAAAACCAATTGTTAAATATTATTGGGTTCTAGAGATTTCCTAACGATTTATTTTAACTCCATTTATTTCTGGACATAGTCAATGATATATTCTTGTCCGCAATAGAAATAAATATGCAAAATAAATAGGCATGAGATCTTGAAACAGTGTTTATTTATCAAAATAATATGTCGGTATTGTTTCATAGAACAAAA